ACAGTAAAACATGGCGATTAAGCCCTGGAGTCACACACAGCCTCCGTGACCTTGGGCACACCTTTCTCTGGACCTTGTTTTTCCCATCTGTTAAATGGTGATAACACCTGCCTTGAATATGGGTAGAGAGCCCATCTTAATGCTTGGATGTGGCACAGGCTCAGTCATTCTTAAAAGGTACAACCCAAGAAGCCTGTGTTCCCGAAGCTCAGTCTGGTTGTGGCCAGGCTGCCCCTGAACTGAATTGAGCCGCAGGGTGTTTAACCGTGGGGGAGAGAGGCTTCCCGGAGGCCTTCCTGACGCCCAGGTTCCGAGGGCTTGGCTGGCCGGGCAAACTCGGAAGCGGGGTCTTAGTTTGGGTTCCCCCAGAAGCAGCCTCGATGTCAGGATTTGAGTGCAACTTGTTCATTTTGGAGGAGCAGGAAATGCCTGCAGCGGGGTTGTGGGGAAGCGAGACCTGGAAGGCCTGGCGCTGTGGGGGAACCTCCGGAAGTCGGTGTGGAGCACTGCGGCGAGGGGCTGCTGGGAAGGGGCGCTGATGCCCCCGCACTCCTGGCCTGGCGCATGTTGGCCAGTGGGAGCCACTGGGCAGAGAAATGGTGCCGCGGTGGGAGGACAGGTGGGCCCGGAAGCGGCTAGACGGAAGCCGCTTCAGGGTTTTTGGAGGGTCCTGCTGTTCAGGAGGGGCGCCTCTTTGGGGTTCCCCGGCCACCTCTGCATTGGGGAGCAGCCCATCCGGCCCTCTGCCAGGCCTCACGCTATCTCCCTTGCCCCCACCCTGGGCCCGAGGCCCGAATGGCACGCAGATGGCACTTGACATTCCAGTGGAATAGTTGTGTGGTCACACGGGCCTTTCTTCATCCCTCTGCTCCCTCAGCGGCCAGCACGGAGCTGGGGTGGGCCGTGAGGGGAGCCTTTCTGGCTATTGGCCCCCCGCCAGTGGGAGCAGGCACCTCCCTTGATTGTAGGCCTGGACCCAAACTGCCCCCTCCCGCCGGCTCAGGCCTGGCTTCCCCCCACCCCCGGAAGCAGGGTCCTGCTGCTGTTCCCTCTGGGCCTCGTGGTTTGCTGCTCCAGCCCCTTGTTCATCTTCCCTCCTTCCCTTAGACCCTTGGGCCCCAGCCGGCCTCACCCCAGCTGCCTCTCAGCCTCACCTCGCAAACTCCCCCCGCCCCCCTTCCTGCCTCATGGCCTTCTGCCTAGACCAGCAGCTCTCAACCTTCTGTCTCAGCACCTGCTCCCAGTCTTGAAAATTATTGAAGACCCCAAAGAGTTCTTGATTGTGAGGGTTCTAGACACTGATAGTTCACTGTATTAGAAATTAAAACGGAGGGGCGCCCGGGCGGCTCAGTTTGTTAAGCATCCGTCACTTGATCTCGGCTCAGGTCTTGATCTCAAGGTCGTGAGTTCAAGCTTTGTGTTGGGCTCTGCCCTGAGCGAGGAGCCTACTTTAAAAAAATATTTAAAACAATTTTTTAATGTGTTTTTAATTTATTTTTGAGAGACAGAGAGTGAGCGGGGGAGGCTCAGAGAGAGAGGGAGACACAGAATCCTAAGCAGGCTCCAGGCTCTGAGCCGTCAGCACAGAGCCTGACAGGGGTTCAAACTCACAAACCATGAGATCATGACCTAAGCCGATGTTGGACGCTTAACCAACTGAGCCACCCAGACGCCCCTAAAAAAATACTAATAAAAAATTTCAGTATTATCTAATTTTATTTTCTCTAGTAATATTTTGATATTAAAGATTAAGAGTATTGGGGCGCCTGGGTGGCTCAGTCGGTTAAGCGTCCGACTTCAGCTCAGGTCATGAGCTCACAGTTTGTGGGTTCGAGCCCCACATCGGGCTCTGTGCTGACAGCTCGGAGCCTGGAGCCTGCTTCGGATTCTGTGTCTCCCTCTCTCTCTCCCCTTCCCTGCTCGCACTGTCTGTCTGTCTGTCTCTCTCTCTCAAAAATAAATAAACATTCCAAAAAAAAGGTTAAAAGTATTATTTAATACTCTGATATAAAAAAAACAACACACCTATTATCTATCAACGTTAGATTTTTTAAAAACTTTTAATGTTTATTATTTATTTTTGAGAGATAGAGACAGAGCACAAGCAGGGGAGGGGCAGAGAGAGGGGGAGACCCAGAATCCGAAGCAGGCTCCAGGCCCCGAGCTGTCAGCACAGAGCCCGACGCGGGGCTCGAACCCACGGACCATGAGATCATGACCTGAGCCGAAGTTGGACGCTTAGCCGACAGAGCCACCCAGGCGTCCCTAGTTTTTTTGTTTTGTTTTGTTTTGTTTTGTTTTGTTTTGTTTTGTTTTGTTTTGATTATGACAAAAATACTTCTTTTCCAAAACAAAACTGTAGTGAGGAGGCTGCTACTCTTCCACGTCTCGCGGATGTTTTTAACGTGTGGCTTGAAGGAAGACAGCAGATTCTGTACTCCCCGTGTTGCGTTGTGTTGTTTTGGCTAAAGCATATGAAGAAAACTTGGCCTCACACGGATACGCAGTTGGAAAAGAAAGGAGTACTGTAAACGTCTTTTTGGATAATTGTGCATATTCGTGTTTTGTTTTTTTTTTCCCAGATAATTCGTGCATACTCAACACCGCCAGTGGTAGCTTCTTAAAGGCTCGTTGCAGGGTGGAATCAGAAACTGTCATTGGTCCCACCTCGGACCGTCTTGCACTTTTCTTTTTTTTAGTTTTTCCATGTTTACTTATTTATTTCTGGAAGAGAGAGAGAGAAAGCAGGGGGAGGGGCAGAAAGAGGGGGAGAGAGAGAATCCCAAGCAGGCTCCGTGCTGTTAGTGCAGAGCCCGATGTGAGGCTTAAACTCACGAACTGCGAGATCACGACCTGAGTGGAAATCAAGAGGCGGAGGCTTAACCTACTGAGCCACCCAGGCACCCCTCTTGCACTTTGAGTGCAACTTTTCTCCACGTGCAGTTTTGTAGCATCATGCCTTGATCGTTTGGAAAATGCTGTCTCACTGAGTTATGCACATCTGCCTAATGTCGACACCCTTCATCATCTATTTTTTTAAAAGGAGCACATTTGTTTTCCCATCTCATCAGAAAAGTCTGTAGGTATTGGGAAGCTACGAAGCTTCTGGCCATGTATACATAGTTTTCGAAATTCTATTTTGGGGCGGGAAATCATTTTTTAATTATCGATAGCAGATATTCATGGTTCTTTTTAAAAAATGTTTATTTTGGGGGCGCCTGGGTGGCTCAGTCGGTTAAGCGTCCGACTTCAGCTCAGGTCATGATCTCACGGTCTGTGAGTTCGAGCCCCGCGTCAGGCTCTGTGCTGACAGCTCAGAGCCTGGAGCCTGTTTCCAATTCTGTGTCTCCCTCTCTCTCTGCCCCTCCCCTGTTCACACTCTGTCTCTCTCTGTCTCAAAAATAAATAAACGTTAAAAAAAATTTTTTTTTTAAATGTTTATTTTTGAGAGAGAAAGTGAGTGCGAGAGGGACAGAGAGAGAGGACGACAGAGGGTCTGAAGTGGGCTCCACGCTGTCAGCAGAGAGCCCAATGCGGGACTCAAACCCCCAAACCGTGAGATCATGACCTGAGCCGAAGCCGGATGCTTAACTGACTGAGCTCCCCAGGCCCCCCTTATTCGTTGTTTTTAGGTGACCACTAACTTTGTTCATTTTTAAAGAAAATGTCTACCAAATATCCAAGAGTGAATAACTATGGTTTGTCGGTTGCCTTTTCAATTAAAAATCGTTCCATGAAAAAAACGGCCAGTTGAGCTGGGAATTCAAACATGAGCGCTTTCCAGAGACAGGAGTTTATAGCAGAGGGCGCTGCACATACTTTCCACTCTACCACACAGAGGGTACTTAAGTTTAGATTTAATAAAATTCATAGTTTTTACTCTTTCATCAAGGACATTCTTAAGTGAATTTGGACTTTTCTGTGCCGAGCGTGGGGTCGTCTGGTTTCACAACCTGTTTGGTGCTCAGACTCTCACCTAGCACAGCTTCATGGCTTTTGCGCTCTCAGGGCAAAGCACAGCACAGAGGGGGAAATTACGTTTTCGTGTTGGGGTGGAAATAGTTAAGACCTCATCGATCCCCTGATTGGGCACTTGACTCTCAGGAGTCTGAAAATAGCCTTTGGGGACAATTGGCCTGGATGTCCTTCTCTCTCTCTCTCAACTCTTTCCCCTTTGTCTGTGACCGTCTTTTCCTTCACGTCCCAGCCCCTAGACCAGTTTGGCTCCCCGTAGCCTTTCAAAATCTTCTGCTCTTTTCTGTCATCACACATGCCACGTGTCTTTTACAGGATTATTGGATGGTTATGTAGGCTACCTAGTGGCTCTGTTGGTCTTTCTCACTGTTGGGTCCCCAGGGCCTCAGGGCCTGGTACATAGCAGGCCCTCAAAGAATAATTGTTGAATGAATAAGCTGCTTTGTGTTGGACCCCGTGCTGGATGTTGGGGACCTGGAGGCAGACATGGTTTCTCTTCCCAAGGTATTCCCGGCCCGGTGAAGGAGCCAAGGTGTGCTCTCAGATGGGCCCAGGTTGCCAGCTAGGGAATAGGAGACATAAAGCCAGCAGCTCTATCGAGGATGCTAGGAGCAGAGGGAATTTGCTCAGGCAGGCAGGGTCTCTGTACCCGGTGAAGGGAAGGGTGGTCTCTGGGGAGGAGAGGTCTGGCTGTAGATGAAGAGTGGCCAAGCTCCAACCAGCCCATGGCTCCCGGCACCGCTAGCAGTGACACCTGGCCAGTTTCTGAGGCATCATTCATTCCTTTGTTTTCCCCTCAGGTCACAGTTACCTGGAGAGGCTCCTGAATATTGAGGTGCCCCAGAAAGTCGGGTGAGTTCAGTTCCAGGGTCTGGGGAACCTTTCCAGGGCTGGGCAGGGCACATGGATTCCTGTCTAGGTGAGTCCCAGGAGTGGAAGCATTTCCCATGCCCCAGCGTCCCCTCCTTGTGGGGACTGCCTGGTCCTGCGGCCACCCCTCCCCCCATTCTAACCAGGCAGCAAACGACACAGGTGTCAGCTCTGGCCTGGCCTTGACTCTTCCAAGCCTTACCCTAGGGCGTGGGCTCCATGGGAGTCCAATCCAGAGGCCTGCTGCGAACTTGAGGAGCCACGTCATGCCTATTGTGGTGGAAAGGGGGCGGCAGGGTGGCCGCGCGTGCTGCCTGCACCCCAGTCACACCCCAGCACCGCTTTTCCTTGAGGCCACATCTTGCCATCACTAAAACTAGGGTCCTCTTGCCCCTGCTTTGGGGCAGAGGGTCAGTGCTTGAGGTAGGGAGACAGGGAAACCGGGTAGGCACGCTGGCTTTGCTGGCCCTCCCGCGAATGGAGAGCAGGCCTCACAAGGGACCAGAGACAGTGACCCATGGGGGCGCAAGGGGTCGGGGTGGAGCCGGCAAACGGCCGGCATGCCGAACCAAGCCCTGATGGGGTGAGTGCCACCGAATTCAGAAGCTGACCTCCCTTGTCTGCCCAGGCCGCAGACGCTCCAGGGAGCCCCTGGCTCTGGCTGCTGTGCTCTTGTCCCGGGTGGCGCTGTGGGTTTGTGACCCAGACCAGGGCGTCTGACGGGTGGGGAGGTGCTCCCGTGAGGAGGACTCAGGCCGGCTGGGCGGGTCCCACATACCTCTTGCTCTCCTTTCAGCCCTGAGCAGAAGCGGCCCAGCGAGGAGGCCGAGCCTGCACAGGCGGCTGAGCCAGAGGTAAGGCGAGCAGGCCAGGGAGGGGAGGGCTCAAGGGCCCCTGAGGCCCAGGTGCAGACCCCAAAGCCTCGGTTCCTCCCCTCCCCCGCTTCCCCCAGGGCCCCAAGCAAGACAGGAGTACCCTGTGGCCCTGCAGTGCCACCAAGATCGCCATTAGCACACCTGGCTCGCAGCCTGTGGCTGGTGGCCAGGAGACGCCCTCCAAAGGGCGGCAAGGTGAGTCTTCCTGCCGTGTGCAGATACCCAGGGTCGTGCTGGCCTTGGTGGCCTTGACCTGACTTTCTTTTGGGGGAGAGGGAGGCCAATTTCCTGGGCTCTCCAGCCAGAGTGGCCGAGGCCGGTTGGTGTGTGAAGTCGGGTGAGGTGAGGGTGGGGCGCTTGAACTGGGGTAGTGACTGAATGCGCCAGGTCGCAGACTTGGACCCCTCCCCGGGGGGGCAGGGGGAGGAGGTCTGTGCTGGGGTGTGAACACCTGGCCTCGTGTGATGTCTCTGCCGCTGGCTCACTTCTCACCTTCGTGGGTCCCCGGTGTGAAGAGAGCAGGAGAGCTACGGGCTCTGGCACTCCCAGGCCGCCAGGGGTGGCCTAGCGTCTGGCTCACGTCTCCTCAGTGGGAAGACCACTGTGGCCGTGAGGTCTTGGTCCACAGCTTCCCCAGCTTTAGGACGGAGTCAGCGACAAGGGCCACTCCAGCGCCGTAGCCCACGGGCGAGCTGCAAGGTCCCTGCAAGGTTAAACGGCTAGGGGCAAACTGGTGCTTCCCCCGAGCAGGGAAGCAAAACAGACTGACCCCATGCCCCATGTGTGGACCCTGTACAGGAAGCCCTCCCCTCCTCCTGTCATGGTAGCCTCAGCTGATAGGCCTGGAGGGGTGGGATTTTGAAGCCTGTTGAGAGGTCTGTTAGAGTCTACAGTTTTCCGGGCTTCTGCTCCTGAAAGGTACCCCCTAGCTGTCAGTGTTAGAGGTGGGGCGGGACACGGTGGGGCCACCTCAGTGGGATTGTCCTCCTGTTCTCATCCCAGAGGCCAGGCATGGGGGTGAGGGGTCCACGGGCTGGGGATCGTATGCTGGGCTCCGGACTTCCACAGATTTCTCAAGGCCGGTCGGTGCTAAGGCTGATGGCTTCTGCCGCTGGCCACCCTGGGAGCTGCCGGGAAGAGAGCCTTGCCCCCGCCATGGCTGCCGCTGGAGGACACTTTCCCCCGACCCCTCCGAGCTGTTCCTGCGGCCTCACCAAAATTGCTCTCTTCACAGAGCCCAAGACTGACCAAGCAGATGGCCCCAAGGAGCCACCCCAGAGTGTCAGGTTTGCATCTGGGTAGGGGCGTATAGGCGACTCTTCTGAGGGGCCCAGAGGGAGATGGACCTCATGTCCTTGTTCGGTGGTGGGGTGGGGAGGTGGGAATGTGGTAAGGGGCGGGGCCTAGTGCTGGAGGTGGCTCGCCGCTATGAGACAAAGCGGGCCTGGGAGTGGGTGACCAGATCCCAGGCCCCACCCTCTGCATCCTCCTGGCCGAGTGACCTAGGACTGGTCACTTGGTCGGGAAGGCCCCACCTCTGCAGCACCTCTCAGTCTGGTGCCCTATGAGCTGGGCCCAGTTCTGTTCGCAGGGTGACCTTTTATGGGGTGTGGCCAGGGCCCTGGGGAGGGTACCGGGGTCGGCCCCGTGACGCTGCTTCCACCCTGCTGTGGCAGGAGGAAGCGCAGCTACAAGCAGGCCGTGAGTGAGCTGGACGAGGAGCCGCAGCTGGAGGACGAGGAGCTGCAGCCCCCCAGGAGCAAGACCCCTTCCCCACCCTGCCCGGCCAGCAAGGTGAGTGGGCCTCTGCCCCCCCCCCCCCCCCCGGGGCCCCCGCCATGCCCAGGAGTTCTCACCCTGCACCCTTACCTCCTCCACAGGTGGTGCGGCCCCTCCGGACCTTCCTGCACACCGTGCAGAGGAACCAGATGCTCATGACTCCGACCTCGGCCCCCCGCAGCAGTGTCATGAAATCCTTCATTAAGCGCAATACTCCCCTGCGCGTGGACCCTAAGGTGAGGGAGCCCGGACCCCTGGCCGTGCTTTGCTAGAGCCGGGCAGCATGGCTGAGGGCTCCGGTCTGTCCCCTAGGCCGCTGGGAGTGGTGTGGATCTGGGCCAAGGCAGCTGGGACCTGGCACCGGTCAAGGGCCAGCTCCAGCCTCTACGGCCTTGGGCTGCCTCAACGTTTGAGGACTGTTCTGGCTTCCTGGGCTCTGCAGTGCAGCTCAGAGGCTCGGCCGGCTCAGCGTGACTCCTGGGTCTTGAGCCCTGAGCTGGTAGTAGAAATGGTGTGGCCGGCCATGGCCGTGACCGTCCATCCCCACACCCCCCACACTCCCCACCCCCCCTCTGGAGGCTTGAGTAGTTAAGGCGAGGGACACCCGTGGACGCTGTGCTTGCCGAGGATGAGGGCTGGTGAGATGGGAGGGGGTGGGGGCTGCCGACTAGAGGGCACAGGCCCCACGCAGACTCTGGCGTAGCCAAGAGGGTGGCCTGCTTTCCGGATGTCCCCGAGCCTGGCATTAACTCCTGGCTTTTTCCTTGTCTCCTCTCCTCCACAGTGCAGCTTCGTTGTAAGTAAAGCCTTCTCCTGTCCTTGTAACCTAGCTCCCCCTAGCACTTACCTGCCGTAGCCCTGTTCCTGCAAACCCACCCGCACCTGTAGAAGCACTAACACCGAAGGTGGAGCGGGAGCGGTAAAGGGGGTGGCTGCCCTGCCTCTGCGGGGCCGGTCCTCTCTGCCCTTGTCTCTGCCCCCAGGAGGCCGAGTCTCGATCTCAGAGCCTCCCTGAAGCAAGAGGAGGCAGAGGGGGTGCGGCCTGCTGCTGTTTACCGGGGCCACAGCTTGGATTTCCCCACAGCACCTCCCTCCCCGGCCCCGGGTTTCCCCTCAGGGTCTGGGGCTGCGAAGAGAACAGACAGGTGGTCTCTGGTCCCCAGAGCCACTGAGGTTTATTGGGTCACAGACCTGAGCTACTGCCTTGAGGCGCAGAGCAGCTGGGGGGGGGGGGGACCATGGTTGTAGGCTGGGTCCTGTGGGGTAGCGGTGGAACTACCACCAGCAGCCTCTGGAGAGAAGGCCACAGAAGCTGTTCTCTTCTCAGATACCTCAGAGCTGAGCCAGGCCACGGGCCCCGAGGAGGGAGCCCCACACGGCTGGGATCTGCTCAGCCTGCAGTCTTGGCTCCCTGGGGTCTCCCAGGTTACAAGGCCGCAGCCCCTGCGTTCCTCTGTTCCCACTGGCGCTTTGAAGGGCCTCCTATTAGGAGGGCTTCTGCCTCTAGCCGAGGGCCTGGGGCTTGGCGGGTCAAGGGGCTTCTCAGCCGCTAGACACGTAGGCCTTGAACTTGCCTGTGCTGCAAGGAGGCTGGTCCCCTCTGTGTGAACGAGGCACTGGCATGCCTTCCAATATGCGAGCAAGCAGGCTGTGTGACCTTACACACCTACTTGTGTGCTAGGCCCCTGCTAGGCACCTGGGCCCACAGCAGTGAACTGGACTCCGACTTGCTCTTCCTACAGAGAACTCCCATGTCGCACACAGACTGATGGGACCCTGGCCGGCTTTATGGGGATGACCAAGAGGTGTAGGCAGCTGCCTTTTCCTGCTTTGGGGAAGCCAGATCCCTGCACAGGGCATCTGGTGGCAGTGGGACAGTTCTTAGTTAGGAGACAGGGGCCTAAGTAGATCGCAGGGACCTTGAGACCTTGGACTAGTTTCCTAACTTTTGGCTGAGTTTCCTTGGGTACAAAATGAGATCAGAGGTCCGTTCATAGAAACGAGTGAACCAGAGTCATGTCCATCAAGCACCTAGCACAGGGCTCAGTAAGAGGTGGTTTTTAGTGATTGGTAGAGAGACTGCTCGATCGAGGCCCCTGGAGGCCGAAGGGACCAAATAAGCTTTTGGTTTTCTCATCCACCGCCTTGGCCTCGAGGGTGGCCTCTGGGGAGCAGCGTCAACCCAGCCCACCTTGGAGGGTTGGGGCAGAGGGTGAACTTGGATTCTATGACATGAACAAATCTTGCTTCTACAAAATTTCCAATGCGCAGGATCATTTCTCTGACCTGTGCTGGGAAATTTTAGCACCCAAACGTCGGGGGTAAAACACATTTTGCTGAGCCCAATTGGAAGCAGGAGTCTGGTGGGCACTTGGGGCAGAAAGAGAAGGCAAAGTGCTTTCCCCACCGCAGAGCAGTGGGTGGAAGTCGGCCCCCTGCTGGTTGGGTGACCAGTCAAGTTATACCTTCTGCCAAACTTGGAGCGTTTTCAGCCATTATTTCTAAGAAATTCTGTTTCATTGTTGCATTCTTTCCCCTCTATCATGGGTGACGATGACACCCACGCCGGTGGTGGATCGTTCTGTGTCATCACAGTCCTTTGGGCTCTGTTCATTTCTCTTCCATAGCTTTTTCTCTCTGTTGGGATCAGATACATTTTATTGATCGATCTGTACGTTTACTGACATCTGTCTGTCTTTTCCATTCTGCCCTTGGACCCATGCACTGAATTTCTTATTTCTGTTATTGTCTTCTGAGTTCTGAAATTTCCATTTTGCTTTTTTCTAGATCTTCTTGTTGAGATTTTCTGTTTTTTTGTTTTTCTCTCCAGCTCCTGCCACCCAGTAACCTTTATTGCCAAAACAGCTCCCAGGACCCCACGGCGCTGGGAGGGGGCGCTAAGTCTTTATTGGGAAGGACGCCCGCCCGTCTTCCCTCACTGCCGATGGTAGACGCACTCAGTGTCAGGGTAGGGTGGCAAGTTCAGCTGGTACTTCTTTTCCAGAGCAGGAGGCACAAAACGGCCTCCCAGGTAGTGATAGCGACCGCTGAAGTGGCTTGCAGTGAGATTTTCTGTTTCGCCAATTGTCTGAAGAATGTATTACTGTTGAAGTATTTCTATAATAGTGGCTTTGATGTCTTTGTCAGATACGTCTAACAATCTGTCACCTTGATGTTGTTGGCTGCTGATCGTCTTCACCTGGGAGTTGAGATTTTCCTAGTTCTTTGTGTGCTGAGCAGTTTTGGATTATATCCTGGCCATTTTGCATATTGCGTTATGAGGCCGCATGTTGTCAGAGAGAGAATGTCGGTATCTTGCTCTAACAGCGACCCACCTGGTTTGGTTCAGGCTGCAGGTCCCACCCCTCCTTCTGTGGGACATGGTTCCAGTGTCCCGATTTCAAAGCCTTTGTGGTACTCCTGGATCTGCCCTGGGTGTGCTGGTCAGTGGTCAGGATGGGATCTGGCAGGTGGTCTGTGAGTTTCATTCTCAGAGTTTTTGGTATAATAGTTAGATGGTCAGATCCATGCATCTGCAGCTTGGGGCTGAGCCTGGGAGCTCACAAACAACCACAGGGTGTCATTTTCTCCACGCATCTAGTACATTTCACTTCTCGGGGGGCTCCCGCTCTCCGTCCTCCAGCCAGGAAGCTGGGGCTTCTGTCACCCTGCTCTACTGCGTGTTTCCACGGCCGCCTCTGGGGTCACCTGGTAGGGAGACAGAAAAAAGCAACAGCATTCATCACCTTTGGGGATCACAGCTCCGTAGTGTGGGGAGGAAGCTCCCCCTCCCCCAGAGTTTTGCCTCTGCAAGTTCTTGTAACTGTTGCTGTCCCATTGCCACAGGGTTGTTTGTGGCCTGGGGCACGAGAGGAAGAAGAAAAGAACACACAAAAATTGGGGTTTTTGCATACTCTGAGCATGAGACTCCCCCTTCCCACTCCTTAAGTGAGATTTAAAGGGCCTCTCCCAGAGTTCTGTCTGTCTGTACCCCTCAGATCCCTTTGGGGTTTCAGACTTCATTGAGTTTAGGCTAGCAGGGAAAACAATGGTAAATTTCTGCTGGCCCAGTGATGCTTCGCAGCCTGGTCTCCCCCTCCGCCTGCTCACATCGGCCTCACACAGCTGTTCCATGTAGTCCAGTTTTATGGCCACCTGCAGTGGCAGAAGCAGGTGTGTCTTCCTCGCAACCAGAGGAGCCCTTCTCTCCATCTTTAGGGTTGTATTCCCTCGGGGCCAGACTTCTGGGTGGGAAATCTGCAGTCAAGGTCAGAGGCCAAGGAGAAATGGACAGTCACTAGTGCAGGGAGAGGGACAGAGCAGAGCACAGAGATGGGTGCTCTGGGTGGCAGAGCACAGAGATGAGAGTCTGATGGGAGCCAGGTGAGGGTGATGGGGGTGGGGGGGGGCTCTGGCCCAGGTCCCAGCCCCCACCTCATGCCCTGGCCATCAGGGCGAAAGTACCAGTCTTGTCCTTAGCCAAGAAAAGCTTGGAGCCCCCGCCTGTGCCCTCTGGCTGCCGTGCCCGTGGGGCTTTCTGGGCATGCAGAGAGGTAGGGTTCCAGCACTGATCTGCTAAACAACCAACTAGTACTTTTAAGAAGCTGTTGTTAGAATCGTTAGGTGCCTGTATCACAGGAAGTTTGGAAAATGAAGGAAAATATACCATCCTTTTGTTTTTAATGTTTGTTTATTTTTGAGAGAGATAGACCATGAGCGGGGGAGGGACAGACAGAGAGGGAAACACAGAATCCAAAGCAAGCTCCAGGCTCTGAGCTGTCAGCACAGAGCCTGATACGGGGCTCGAACTCATAGACTGAGAGGTCAGGACCTGAGCCAAAGTGGGAGGCTTACCCGGCTGAGCCACCCAGGGACCCTGAGAAAATATACCATCCTTAACATATCTCACCAGCCTATAGTAATCTATGTTAGCATTTGGCCATATTTTTTTTCCATATATTGGGAAACATAAAAGTGTGTGTACACGAAGTATAAAAGTTACAACGCATAGAAATAATAAATTAACGCTTATGTACCCAGCACCCCTTTATAGATGTTAACCACAACTTTTACAGCTGTCTGTCCCTCTATGATGTCAATCTTCCTTCTCTTCTCAAGTACACTTTAATATAGTTATAATCAGAGCATCTGTCCAATTTCGAACCCTGATTTTTGTGCCGCTGCGACTTGGCAGGGCTCAGTCAAGGGTGCTTGGGAGGCTGCCCACCAGAATGACCGAAGCCCCAGGCCACCGTCTGGTTGGGAAGGAAGGCATGTTTTGGGGGTGACTCTGCCTCTGTAACAGGCTGGCTGGGGCCTGTGGGCCTCGCTCACCCCCCGCCCCGCCTGCCTCAGGAGAAGGAGCGGCAGCGCCTGGAGAACCTGCGGAGGAAGGAGGAGGCGGAGCAGCTCCGCAGGCAGAAGGTGGAGGAGGACAAGCGGCGGCGGCTGGAGGAGGTGAAGCTGTAAGTGGTCCAGCTCCTGGCCCCGCCCCCCGGCCCCGGCCCCCCCCCCCCCCCCCCGGGCCCTGGCCCCGCCCCCCGGGTACGACCGCCCTGTGTCCGCAGGAAGCGGGAGGAGCGCCTCCGCAAGGTGCTGCAGGCCCGGGAGCGGGTGGAGCAGATGAAGGAGGAGAAGAAGAAGCAGATAGAGCAGAAGTTTGCTCAGATCGACGAGAAGACCGAGAAGGTGCGCGCCTCGGGCTGGTGGGCGGCCAGGTTTCGGGGTGGGCTGCACCCTGGCAGGCCCCAAGCAGGTCCCACTCGGTGGCTGTGGTTTCTGGGTGTCCCCCCCCCCTTCCCCTCTCCCCCCCTCCTCCCCGGGCTGTGGGGAACAAGCCCGGTTCGCAGGGGCAGGGGGTGCAGTTCCGGGCCCCGCGCTGCAGGGCTGAGTGAGGAGGGTGCTCTAATGGGCACATGTGGATGGGCCCTGTAGGTTAAGGAGGAGCGGCTGGCGGAAGAGAAAGCCAAGAAGAAGGCAGCAGCCAAGAAGATGGAGGAGGTGGAGGCGCGCCGCAAGCAGGAGGAAGAGGCGCGGAGGCTCAGGCGGCTACAACAGGTTCATGGGCAGAGGGGCTCGCATATCAAGGACGCAGAAGGTCCCCCGAGGGTCGCCAGACACGCCCCACTTTGTTGGGTTGGTTGTGGCGGCTCTTGTTGCTTTAAGTCCTGAGGAGTTTCCACAAATACCCTGGGGACGTGTATGGCGACCTGCCTCCTGCAGGTGGCAGTTCAAGGGTCAAGTGGATGGACTCCAGAGCCAGACCTTCAGTCTCAGCTCTGCCACTTCCCAGCCGGGTGACCCTGGGCGGGTTCCTTGACCTTTCTGGGCTTTGATTCCCTCGGGGAACCTTAGCGTCTACCTGACAGGGTCGGTGTGAGGGTTGAATGTTTTGCCTGTGAGAGTAGGGACCTACCTCTCCCTGGGAGTTGTCTATCTCAGGACGATAGGGAACACAGATGTGTCATTAGGGGATTATAATACTAATAACCAAAATTTACTTAGTGTTTTCTGTGTGTCAGACACCGGTCTATGTCCTGTGTACGAACTCGGTAACTTCATGAGGTGTAGTCGTTACTGTTGTTCCTGTTTTATCAATGAGGAAACTGAGGCCAGAGAGCTGAAGCCACTTGCCCGGTGTCACACCGGCTGGTGAAGTCTGGCTCCAGTCTCTACCCTTGACTACTGGCTTTGCAGCTGCGTATAAAGCAGTTTTCTTTCATGGGGCGCCCAGGTGGTTCAGTGGGTTGGGCGTCCAACTCTTGATTCCGGCTCAGGTCATGATCTCACGGTTTCATGGGTTTGAGCCCCGCGTCGGGCTCTATGCTGACAGTGCAGAGCCTGCTTGGGATTCTTTCTGTCCCCATGTCTGTCCACCCCCCTCCCCTGCCCGTGCTGACTCCGTCTCTCTCAAAATAAATAAATGAGCTTAAAAAAAAAAAGGTGATTTTCACGAGATGCCTTTTCATGGCGATTCTTGGGGAGCCTGGCTTGGGGAGGGGGGGGCGCTTCTGGGAGGGAGCAGGCCCTGTGGCCTCTCTTCCCTCCTTCCCAGACCTCCTCCCTGGCTTCGCCAGCCCAGGGCTGGCCTCAAGGGCCCTGACCTGGCACTCCGTTCACAGGATGAGGAAGAGCGGCGTCACCAGGAGCTTCTGCAGAAGAAGAGGGAGGAGGAGCAGGAGCGGCTGCGCAGGGCGGCCGAGGCCAAGAGGCTGGCGGAGCAGCGGGAGCACGAGCGGCAGCTGGCGGAGCAGCAGGAGCACGAACGCAGGAGGGAGCAGGAGCGGCTCCAGGCCGAGAGGTGAGGGGCCCGCTGCCCAGCTGGCCGAGGTGGCACCCTGTCGTCACACACCCGCCTTCCTGTGAGCACGTGGAAGGGGCACACGTAGCCGTTGCCAGGAGGCAGCTCCCTCCTCCACTTGGGGGTTCGCAAAAGGACAGGCCCTTTTCTTTTTGGGCTCTGGGCCAGGAGGCGGCTCCCTGGGCTGACGGGCTCTCGCTTGGTCCTCAGGGAGCTGCAGGAGAAGGAGAAGGCCCTGCGGCTGGAGAGGGAGCTGGAGGAGAAGAAGAAAAAGGTAAAGGGGAGCGGGCCTGGGGCTCCTGCGGGGTCTGCGCCGAGCTCCGGGCCAGCCTGGTGGCTCCCGGTCCGGGAGCAGCCTTGCCTGCCCAGCCGTGTGGGGTTGGGGGGGGGGGGTGTGAGGGGCTCACACATGCACCATCTCTAATATCCGGCCACCCCTGGGGCCCCAGGAAGAGCAGCAACGCCTGGCCGAGGAGCGGCTGCTGGAGGAGCAGCAGAGGAAAGCCAGGGAGGCCGCGGCGGCCAGCAAAGGCCTGAATGTGACCGTGGACGTGCAGGTGAGGCCGGGCAGCCAAGTGGAGAGGGCCCCTCCAGCTCTGGTTATTCACTCCCCGCTGGTTGGAGCCACAGATACAGATGAGGACCATGCGAAAGGAAGGATACGGTTGGCCCAAGTGGTTTTACCCTTTTCGATAGGTGTATTTCCTTGCTGTAAAAGTAGAATTTGTTGTAAAAAAAAAAAAAAAAAAAGAAGAAGAAGAAGAAGAAGAAGAAACTAAACTTTTTTAAAGAGTGTAAAGAAAAGGAAAGGTACCCTTAGAGGAAAACTCTAATCTGGTGTAGATCTTTCTGTATGTTTACCGATATAAACCTACACACACGCACGTACACACACATGCCCAGTTTTAATTGGCACTGTCTACACGTACTGTCTTAGTCTGTTCAGGCTGCCGTCACACATTGCTACAGACTGGCTGGCTTAAAGAGCAGTTCTGGAGGCCAGAAGTCCAAGGTCAAGGCAGCAGCAGATTCGGTGTTTGGTGACAGTCTTCTTCCTGTGTCCCCTGTGGTAGAGGGGGAGAGGGGGCTCTCTGGGGTCTCTGTTCTAAGGGCACTAATCTCACTCATGGGGCCTCCAGCCTTGTGACCTAATCACCTCCCCAAGGCTCCACCTCCCAATACCATCACATTGCGGGGTCGGATTTAACAGAAGAATTTGGGGGGTGGGGGGTACCCACACAACATTTAGTCTATACCATATGCCATTTGGCATTTTTATTTTATTTCTCCCTATTTTCCCTTTCATTTAGTGAGTTGTAGACCTCTCTGTTCCAGCACTTGTAAATCTCATATTTGATGGCTGTGCAGTTGATGGCAATTACTTACACCAGGATTTCTTTAACAAGCTCTTACTGGTGAACATTTAGCCTACTGCCAGCTTAACTCTTGTTAACAAAACGTATGCGGGAGAGTTTTCAGGGCAACGTAGTTTATGACGTTGAGACCTTGGAAGGGAGCCGAACGTTCATCTCTAACGGATGGTCAAAGTACGAATCATGGTGTGCCCAGGGGAGTACCCTGGAGCCGTTTGAAGGAGAAACACTGACCTGGAGGAATGTTTGCAACATACTTTAACTTGAAAAAGGAAGATACAGGGGCGCCTGGGTGGCTAGTCAGTTAAGCGTCCAACTTCGGATTGAGATACAGTCTCACGGTTTGTGAGTTCATGCTCTGAGTTGGGCTCTGTGCTGACAGCTCAGAGCCTGGAGCCTCCTTGGGATTGTGTGTCTTCTTCTCTCTCTGCCCCCAGCTTGTGCTCTCTTTCTCTGTCTCTCTCTCTTAAAAGTAAATAAACATTTAAGAGAAAAGAGGGGCACCTCGGTGGCTCAGTCACTTAAGCGACTTTGGCATGGGTTATGATCTCACGGTTTGTGAGTTCGAGCCCCACGTCAGGCTCCGTGCTGACAGCTCGGGAGTGTGGGGACAGGAGCTGACAGCCATGTTTATCTTCTCCAGTCTCCAGCTTGTACCTCCTATCAGATGACTCCGCAGGGGCACAGGCCGCCCCCCAAGATCAACCCGGATAACTACGGGATGGATCTGAATAGCGATGATTCCACCGATGACGAGGCCCATCCCCGGAAGCCCATCCCCACCTGGGCCAGAGGTAAGCAGGGCCCAGAATTCCCCGGGAGACCTGGCTCCTCACTTGCGACATCTGGGACCCTGGAGGTGGTGGGTCGGCAGCTGTGGGTATCAGGAGGCTGTTGTCGTCATGGGCTGGCAGCTTGTATTGGACCTGTATTGGGCTTTGGGATGCACCCAGGGAAGGGTCGGCCCTCTGTGGCCAGTAGGTTGAACTGAGGACCAGAAGTACGGTATTGGGTGCCTGTGTTCTCAACAAAAGTGTTAAATTGTGGCTGGCTGCCGACAGGCATGGGGCTGGGTGTGCCAGCTCAGACTCTATGCACCCCCTTGGAGCCTCACCCAGTGGGCCAGATGAGAGTTGGACCCAAATAAGCAGCTTGGAGTAGGAATACCACCAAGAGTGGTCACCGGTTTTAGGCAGTGCGCCGAGAGCTGGAGCTGGGGGTTCCGGCAGCTGGGGAGGTCAGGAAAGCCCTGAGGCAGGGCCACTTGAGCAGGATTTGACCCCAGTTTACAAGCCCCAGCATTTAAACGGGAGCGTGAGTGTGTGTGAGCAGGCCACCACAGACCTGGGTGCAGGGAGCGGGGCCAGTACGTACACGGTGGGCACTTCATAGAGTTTGCAGAGCTGGGGGTCAGGGCTTGGTGCCTACTCACTCCCCAGAGAGAAGGGCCCAGAGGCCCATTGGGGGGCAGCACTCTGCAGAAGACAGCTTACTTTGGTGTCACCTCAGTTGAACTCCACGCTAGGCAGAATCTTAGTCCCCTTAACTTTTGACATCTGGGCATTTGGGAGGTAGCAGCAGGCAGGGGTCAGCATGGCCGGAGCCACCTAGTGGTGATTGACGGTCACCAACTTCCGTAAACTCCCTGAGTTCTCATCTGTGAAATGGGGGTGTTACTAGGACACAGCTGAGAAGGGTTATATAGGATGAAGAGAGTTTAGGATGAAGAGAGTTGGTGCTCGTTCCTAAGGCCTGGTGCACAGCAGTGCTGGGCACCTGTTCCGCCTCCTGACCCCCAGAGTCCTCCTGAGGCCTTGTTTCCAGGGCTGGGTGCCTCAGCCCATGGGTCCACTCAGCCTGCACCCTGTGCCGTGGGACCCGGGGGCCGGTGAGAGAAGTAGCCAACCCCAGCAGTCAAGGATGGCAGCGTATGAAGTTTCGGAGCTGGACGGTCTCCAGACCCCAGCTCCCCCAGTCACGAGCTACGTGCCTTTGGGCAAGTCCCCCCCGCCCCACCCTGCCTTCTGAAATGGGGAGAATAAAGGAGCTGCCTCCCTCCTGGTTGTGGGGTTGTGGTTGCCTGGCCCAGGTGAGCACTTGAGGACCTGTGTTCAGGCTAAGCTGCTGGAACGTGGCAGTAGGAACAGGCAATAAGAGCATTTTCACGAGGGCGCCTGGGTGGCTCAGCTGGTTAAGTGCGCAACTTGGGCTCAGGTCATAATCTCACGGTTCATGAGTTTCAGCCCCGTATCAGGCTTGCTGCTGTCCGCGCTGAGCCTGCTTTGGATCCTCTATCCTGTCTCTCTCTGCCCTTCCCCTGCGTGCGTTTTCTCTCTCTCTCTCTCTCTCTCTCTCTCTCTCAAAAATAAACATTAAAAAAAAAAGCTTTTCAAGGAAAAGGGGAGAGGAAGAGGGCTCTGAGAGAGGAGCTGATGTGGCTGCGGTGGGGAAGGAGACAAGGTGTCAGGGGATGGGGAGGCTCCTGAGGAGCCCCAAGGCAGTGACTTGACCCTCCGTGTCCCCTGCAGGCACTCAGCTAAGCCAGGCCATCATCCACCAGTACCACCACCCCCCAAACCTGCTCGAGCTCTTTGGAACCATCCTCCCGCTGGACTTGGAGGACATCTTCAAGAAGAGCAAACCTCGCTACCACAAGCGCACCAGCTCTGCCGTCTGGAACTCGCCGCCCCTGCTGGGCCCCAGGGTCCCCAGCAGCCTGGCCTATGGCCTGAAGAAGTACTGAGGCCCCCAGGTGTTCCCAGCAGTCTCCACCCCTGCGTGTGTCTGTGTGTCCGCCTCTCTGTTGGTCTGGGGCCATCCTGCCTGGTGTTCTGTCTCCAGGGGTTTGGCTGTGTGTATATAAATGTCCTCTGTGCGCCGGGGGTTGCAAGTCGCGCAGGCCTGTTTGGAAGCTGCACTTGGCGGGTAGTTGGGGGAGAACCTGCCCAGCCCCACCTGGCCTGCAGACAGTGCTCTGTAAATAGACTGTTAGAATTCAGCTGAATTTTAGCCTCTGGTGTTTGAGAGCTAGATTAATAAAGTCTGTTCCTTTAAGCCTGCTGTGGGTATTGTAGAGGTGGGGGCCGTGGCAGGATGCCCCTGGCCCCTGGCCCCGCAGCCGTGTGTCTCAGGCCACCGATGGGCCGGGGACCAAGGGACTATTCCTCTTCCTGGAGTATGCTTCCGGCCGACGCAGTGGGTGATTGTGATGCAGTCTTTGGGCCACGCTGAGAAACACTTGAGTTTCTCGCCCGATGGGGCAAGCGAAGATATTTCTGACGCTCGGGGGAGCTCCCTGTTTGTAAAGGGAGCTTGCCCAATGGGAAAGACGTGGGGTCGAGGTCAGGAGGACTGGGCTCTTGACACAGCTCTGCCACCTAAGACAGTCCCTGGGCCCTGCAGGCTCCACGCTTGCCGCATGGACGGTCAAAGGACCTGAGAATGCGTGCACGCTGCTGAAGCAGGAGCTCTGATTACAAAGATGTCTCCTGAAACCACCTCGGGACCAGCGCTTGCAAGCAGTTGGAATGTTTCTCCAACAAAACCATGTAGCTGCTTATTAAATGCTTAATGTCCGTGGAAGCTGGCCCAGGGCCCGTCCCATAGCTGCCTGCTGTGCTCTCAGTGTGCGGTGGCTAGTTGCTTATCATCCACTCCAGCCCCCAGAACGAAAGTTGGCGAACCGTGGCCCCAGGGGCCAAATCAAACCTCAGTGTGTTTTTATGAAGTTTTATTGGAACCTTCCCAATTGCAGCAAATGCCTCATCTCAGGCTGCTCTGCCGAGGACGAAGTAGTTGCAAGCAAAGCCTGACGGCGCACAGAGCTGAAAAGATTTACTAGGACCCCCTACAGAAAGTTTGCTGACCCCAGCTTTAGGACAAAATAAAGGCTAAGTTCAAGAGTGTCTGAAAATGAGGAACTGGTGAATACAGACAATAGACTGAAGTTCAGAGGCGTCTACCAATTAAAAAAAAAAAAAACAAAAAAAAACATCTGGAGTTCTGGGTGCCTCTGTCGGTTAAGTCTGACATTCGCTCAGGTCGTGATCTCACGGTTTGGGAGTTCGAGCCCCGCATGGGGCTTTACGCTGATTAGGATTCTCTGTCATTCCCTCTCTCTCTGCCCCTCCCCCACAATCTCAAAATAAAAACAAAACCTTTGACAGTTCATTCAAATATGGTGCACGATCCCAATTTGTTCTGTATGCCCTGGAAGCTATTGTGAGTTCATTGGTGAGTGTGTCTCTACCTGAAACCACATTGTCAAAATATTACTTTTTTCTGAGCATTTTTGTGTTTGAGAGAAAGTTGTTCAGCCAAAAGGTAGTTATAGTTGCCGCGACCTTCACCAGCACTTGGTGTTGGCAGTATTTTCTAATTTTAGCTATTCTGATATGTAGTGAAATCTCATCATGATTTTAAAGGGTTTTGTTTTTTTGTTTTTTGAGAGAGAGACAGTGGGAGATGGGCAGAGGGAGGGAGAGAGAGAATCCCAAGCATGCCCCACACTCCATGCTGAGCCTGACAAGGGAGGGGGGGTGGGGTCGGGAGGCTTGGGCCCACCTGAGCCAAACATCAAGAGTCCCTCGCTCAATGGACTGAGCCACCCCAGGCGCCCCTCGTCGTTGTTTTAATTTACATTCTGCTAATGGCTGATGATGGTGAACATTTTTCCACGTGCTTATTTGCCATCTGCATATCTCGGTTGAAGTGTCTGTTCAAGACTTTTGTTCATTTGTCAATTGGGTTGTTTTCTTACCGTTGAGTTTATCATCTTTATGTATTATGGGTACAAATCTGCTGTCAATATGTGCTTGGCAGTATTTTCTTTCTTGGTCCGCACCTTATCTTTTCATTCACTTAATGGTGTTTTTCATAGAGCAAAAAATTTAATTTTGGTGGAGTCCCAATTTGTCATTCTTGTTGTTTTTTTATGGATTGTACTCTTTGGTGTCCCATCTAAGAAATCTTTGTCTAGCCCTGGTTCTCAAAGCTTTTCTTTTATATTTTCTTCGAAATGTTTTATAGTCTTATAAATACTACATTTACATTTATGATCTACTTGAGTTAATTTTTTTAAAGTGTGAGATTCCTGTTTTTCGTTTATTTGGTTTGGGGGGCATATGGATATATATCCAATTGTTCCAGGACCATTTGGTGAAAAAACCGTTTTGCAGTGGATTTCCTTGGCAACTCTGTCCATCAGTCAGCCCTATTTGTATGGGTCTACATCTGGACTTTGTTTTTTTGTTGTTGTTATCTTTGAGAGAGAGTGGGGGAGTGGGGGAGGGCAGAGGGAGTGGGAGAGAGAGTCTTAAGCAGGGGCTCTGTCTCACGACCATGAGATCGTGACCTGAGCTAAAGTCAAGAGTCGGAAACTTAACAGACTGAGCCATTCTGGTGCCCCTATGTCTGGACTTTGCGTTCTCTTCCATTCACCTGTGAGTCTCTCCTTTTACCAATACCACATCACCAAGGTTACTGTAGTTTGTATCCATCTGAAAAATCTATTAGTGTGATTCCTCCAACTTTAGTCTTCCTTTTCAAAATTATTCTGACTTTTCTATCAATTTTGCCTCTCCATATAAATTTCAGAATCAGCTTATTTATACAAAAACCTTGCTGGGATTTTGATTGGGATTGCTTAAAATCTCTAGATAATTTTTTTGGAGAATTCACATATGACAGCGAGTCTTCTAAACTGAAAATGGGACTTGTATTTCCATTTATTTACATCTGTGGCTTCGTCACTCAGCATTTCACAGTGTCAGCATACAGATCCTTTACAGGTTTTGTTGGATTTATACCTAAGCATTTATTTTTGTGGAGCTATCGTAAATGCTATTGTTTTTCTAATTTTGGTTTCCAGTAGCTCATTGCTGGTATGTAGAAATACAATTGCTTTTTGTGTGTTGACCTTGTATCTTGTGCTGCAACTAAAGCAGTACGTAGAGGGAAATTTAGAGACTAAAATGCCTGTGTTTGATAAAAGGTGTTACATCAAAGACTTCAGCTTCCACTTTAAGAAACTAGAGGGGCGCCTGGGTGGCTCAGTCGGTTGAGCATCCACCTTTGGCTCAGGTCATGATCTTGCGGCTCTGGGGTTCGAGCCCTACGTTGGCCTCAGTGCTGTTGGCTCAGCCTGGAGTCTGCTTCGGATTCTGTGCCTCCCTCTCGCTCTGCTCCTCCCCCGCTCTTGCTCTTTCTCTCTCAAAATAAACAAACAAACATGAAAAAGTATAAAAAGAAGAGCAAATAAATGTATAAGTAGAAGAAGGGAAATGACAAAGGTAGGGCAGAAATCGATGACTTTGGAGAGAGAAAAATAACGGAAAATTTAAACCAAAAGCTGATTCTTTGGGAAGCTCAAAAAATTCATCTCTAGCTTGATAAGGAGAAAAAGAGAGAAGAAACAAATGGCCAGTGTCAGGAATGAAAGAGGTAATGCCACTATAGATTCTATAGGTATTAAGAAAAGAGTAAGATTATTATGAGCAACTTCTGGTGATAAATTGGACAATTGACATGAACACAAATTCCTTGGAAGATCCAATTAGTTCACCCACAAGAAATAGAAAACGTAAATAGCCCTATTTATTGTTGAAAGAAATTGAGTTTGTAGTTTAAAATCTCACGAATACACTAAGCCTAGATCATGTTAGTGGTAAATGCAACCACGTATTCAAGAAAGACATATCAATTCTATGTAACCTCTCCCAGGAAATTAAAGAGGAAAGAACACTTTTCCACTGCATCTACGAGACAAACATTGCCCTCATCCCCAAACCAAACAAAGACACTGCAAGAAAGGAAAATTAGACAATTTTCTGTCATGAACCTCAATACAAAAATTCTTAGCAAACTCATCACAAATCCAACAAGTTATATAAAAAGGATAATACATCTTAGCCAAATAGGGTTTATCCCAAGAATATAATGTAGTTTTCACATTCGAAAGTCAACTAGTGTAATTTTCATATCAATACAGGAGGAAAACCATGTGATTAATAGATGCAGAAAGCACATTGACAATTCAACACTAATTCACGATAAAAGTTCTAAGGAAATTAGAATTTTTTTTTGGTCTCATATTCAACCCTACCTCTCTCTCTCATTAAGACTAAGCATGACCAATAATATGACCTAAATAAGTAGTTCCAAACATGGATGAGTGAATGAATTATAACACATGCAAACTAGAATTTAAAGGGAATTTGGGGTGATGGGGTGGCTCAGTTGGTTAAGCATGTGACTTCAGTTCAGGTCATGATCTGGTGACTTGTGAGTTTGAGCCCCTCGTCAGGCTCTGTGCTGACAAATGTCAAAAATGTCTAACTGCAAATGACCCACAATAGCCAAAACAACTTTGAAAACTACAAACAAAATCAGAGGGGCTACGTACATGCCTTCAAGACTCACTACAAATTTACAATACTTAGAATAGCATGGTATTAATGTAAGGATAGATCAGTGGAGCTATTCAGAGTCCAGAAATAGAACTACATCCACATGGTCACTTCGTTTTTGACAAAAGTGGAAAGGCCATTCAGTGTGGGAAGGATGATTTTTTTCAATAAATTGTCTTGGAACAATCGAATATGTTAAAAAGTCTGCAAACCTTCCTCACACCGTGTGTCAGATTTAATTCATGATGGATCATAAGCCTAAATGCACAACTCAAGAAAACAGGACAAAATCTTACTGTCTGTGTTTGGCACAGATTGCTTACACCATACACGAAACTTATGAATTAGAAAAAGTCCACCAGTTGGATTGGTATAAAAGTAAAAATCAAAATTAAACCTTTTTGTTATTTTATTTAAAAATATTTGTTTTATGTTGATTTTTGAGAAAGAGAGAGAGAGAGAGACAGAAGGTGAGCAGGGGAAGAGGCAGAGAGAGAGGGAGACACAGAATCTGAAGCAGGCTCCAGGCTCTGAGCTGTCAGCACAGAGCTCAATGTGGAGGCTGGAACTCACAGACTGTGAGATCATGACCAGAGCCAAATTCGGACGCTTAACCGACTGAACCACTCAGGTACCTCCTGTTTTGCT